ACTCCAAACAAATTTGAAAATGGTTTTAATCATCAAGAAGCACTTTTCACTCCCCCAAAAGTCATGTCAAACTCACTTTTTCTTCTCCTCCATATATGCTTTTTCTTTCACTTGAAGAAACTAAATTTGTTCATTAACTGGTGTTTAGGCTTTCTGATAAAGTATATGCGCTAGCTGGTGAGGTACTGAAGAAGTTGTCCTCGGTTGCAGCACCCCATCGAAAATTCTTCATGTCAAACCTCTCAGAATTAGCTAATGGATTGAGCAGCTCTGCTATCAGCGAGCTTGTTACCTTGAAGAATACAAACATGTTAGGTTTAAGTGCTAGCTCAATGGCTGGGGCAGCAATTGTACGTGTTTTGCAGGCTCTTAGTTCACTTATTTCCCCTAGTGCGGGGGAAGCCAAAAGTTCAGAGTGTGATAGTGAATTAGAGGAGCAAGCTATCATGTGGAGCTTGAATGTGGCACTAGAGCCATTGTGGCAAGCACTAAGTGATTGTATAAGTGTGACTGAGACTCAACTATCGCAGAGCTCTTCTTCCACTGCACCAATTAATGTTGGGGAGCAACTTCAGGGCACCATCTCTTCCTCTCCTCTACCTCCTGGAGGTCAGAGACTCCTGCCATTTATTGAGGCATTCTTTGTTTTGTCCGAAAAGCTTCAGGAAAATCTGTCTATTTTGCAACAAGATCATGTCAGTATTACTGCTAGAGAGGTCAAAGAGTCTGCTGGCAGTTCAGACACATTAAGCACCAAGGGTACTGATTATCAGAAAAAGTCTGATGGCGTTGTTATGTTTACAAGGTTTGCTGAGAGGCATCGCCGTCTTTTGAATGCTTTTATCAGACAAAACCCTGGGTTATTGGAGAAATCACTTTCAATATTGTTGAAAGCTCCTAGGCTTATTGATTTTGATAATAAGAGAGCTTATTTCCGTTCAAGAATCAGGCAACAGAATGAGCAACATATTTCTGGTCAATTGCGGATTAGTGTTCGTCGGGCCTATGTTTTGGAGGATTCATACAATCAATTGCGTATGCGGCCAACTCAAGACTTGAGAGGACGATTGAATGTGCAGTTTCAAGGTGAAGAGGGTATTGATGCTGGTGGCCTGACAAGAGAATGGTATCAGTTACTCTCGAGGGTCATATTTGACAAGGGAGCCTTGCTATTCACCACAGTTGGAAATAATGCAACTTTTCAGCCAAATCCAAATTCTGTCTACCAAACAGAACACCTTTCCTACTTTAAGTTTGTTGGCCGCGTGGTAATTAACTAAAACTGGTGTTCTGATCATTGCTAAGGATTCGCTAGATGTTCCTATCTGATTTATTATATTTTAAATTCTATATAGGTTGCGAAGGCTCTGTATGATGGACAACTTTTGGATGTTTATTTCACAAGATCGTTTTACAAGCACATACTTGGGGTTAAGGTGACTTACCATGATATAGAAGCTGTCGATCCTGATTATTATAAAAACTTGAAGTGGATGTTGGAGGTTAGTGGTTTTCTGTATTTAATATGATTAACTTAGTTTTATATTTCAAATTTTATATCCTAACTTTTCGATCTCTCTGTCAGAACGATGTGAGTGACATTCCTGATCTTTCATTTAGCATGGATGCAGATGAGGAGAAGCACATTCTTTATGAGAAAAATGAGGTCATAATCCAAAATTTGGGCATCTGTCAAGCCTGTTTTTGTGTGTAGTAAAAGCTTTTGCGAATGAACTCTTCTACTATTTTTGTAGTCTTTATGACCTTCTTTCCATTTTATAGGTCACTGATTTTGAGCTTAAGCCTGGAGGAAGAAATATAAGGGTTACTGAAGAAACTAAGCATGAATATGTAGACCTGGTCGCTGATCATATTTTAACCAATGCTATCCGCCCCCAAATTAACTCATTTCTAGATGGTTTCAACGAACTGGTGCCTCGAGAGCTTATTTCTATTTTTAACGACAAAGAGCTTGAGCTACTCATCAGTGGACTTCCAGAAATTGATTGTGAGTTCTCTCATGCAAAATAATCATGGTATCCGGTGCTTTGGGTTATTTTCTGAGGTTTTAACTTCTTATTGTCTTTCCAGTGGATGATTTGAAGGTGAACACCGAGTATACTGGATACACAGCTGCATCAAGTGTTGTGCAGTGGTTTTGGGAGGTAGTTAAATCTTTTAGTAAGGAGGACATGGCAAGATTGCTGCAGTTTGTGACTGGAACATCAAAGGTAGTAAGAAAATTGAATGTTGCATACGCCTGTTTGCATCTATTATTTATCATTTATATGATGTCATCAACATTTTTAGTGTGTCCTTTGTGTTCTTGCTCCCGTCGTATGCTTGAGATATTACCCTTTCCTTGGATGTTTGAAATGATTGACAAGACTAGATGCATTTGTCTTTTTAACTTAATTCACGTGGTGGGTTGGCACATGCGCAGACACAAATATTTCCGCAACACGCTGATCCCAGGAATTTTGTGTAATCCTGAAATAGGAATACGAAGTCTACGGTTTTCTTCGAGTCACCATTCATTTGTGATTTTCAGGTCCCACTGGAGGGTTTTAAAGCTTTGCAAGGTATCTCTGGACCTCAGAGGTTTCAGATTCACAAGGCGTATGGAGCTCCTGACAGGCTGCCATCAGCACATACATGGTTGGGAATCTAAATGCCGTTCTATCTTAATTTTTATCTATTCATTATTGTTATGAGCAGAAAGCCTAGAATCAAGTAAAGCTGTTTTTTTTATCTTTTCGGGCATATAACCTTCTGGGAACTATTTTTTTCTTCCAGCTTGAACGAATATGATTCTCACATCTTTTCTTTCAGCTTTAATCAACTAGATCTTCCTGAGTACTCATCAAAGGAGCAGCTTCAAGAACGCTTGCTGCTTGCCATTCATGAAGCCAGTGAAGGATTCGGCTTTGGTTGAGCCAGATTTTGATTTGCAAATTAAGAAATGCTCTGAAAATGCCATGTACATGTTAGTTCTAAATCCCCACTCTCAAGGTTTGTTTTCCTTGTATGTCTGGTTTTATCTGTTGTAATACTACTGACGTTTGGTATTTGACTCCACCAGATGAAGACAGAAGCTGCAAATACAAGATCGAAGGGCGGGAACGAGGAGTGAGTACTGAAAAATAAAAATGAAAAATGAAGCTACTTTTTATTAAGACGATGACCTTTGAGGGAGCAGATTACTGTGTTTTTGAAGACTTTGATGTGCTCCTTCAAAGGTAACCAATTGGTTTGAGAAAAAAGGTCATTCTTTTGGTTAGAATGCTCAGAGCATTGAAAGGAGTTCTATGGGTTAGAGAATGAATACAGAAGTTGACACAAAAATGAGCCAAATTCCATTGTCTATAATGAGTCTTTTCGTTGGCCTTGGTAGTTCAATTCAGTTCACTCCTTTTGCAGCCAACAATCTGCGTTTAAGGAGTCTATGTTTTATGTTTCTGTAATTAACTTTGAGGTTGGTAATAAAACACTGAATGGATTTTTCATATTCTGGTTTTGTTCTTATTATTCTTATGATTATTTAATTTTTCAAGCGTATTTTCCTCCATTAGTTGGGTGGCATTGTTTGAGTAATTTGGTACTCAAATCTTGCGTCTGATTCTGGACAGTGAGTTTCTTAATTCAATCAACTGTGAAGGTGAGGTTGAAACATATAGGTTATGTTTAGGAATTTTGTTTGGTAGGGTGGTCGTATATGTTCATATTTTCAACTGTGGCGTTGTCATTACTCTTTCTCGTCCAAATTTGCAGCTTTGTTGGACTATAGGAAAGGTTTTCCTTTATTTGTCGAAACATGTTCACTTGCTTACAACTTTATTTGACTTGTCTCTACTTAATTAGGCCAAGGTCTTTTAAATGTAACGTTGTATCTCAGGATGTCATTGACATTTGTTGTTTGCTCGGTTTGAGAATTAATTCATGAGTCAACTTTATTGTTAGGACATTCAGACATCCATCCATTTGGGTACTATCGAAGCATGAACCCTCTTTTTCATGCCGAGTCATTTCTAGATACCATGTAGGAGAGTCGCCCATATACTAGCCTTTGGTTCAAGGGCAAGCGTGCCATGATGGTGCACCCATGTTATAAGACATTGTCCTTGGAATTCCATTTCCCAAGGGAGATTCCTAAGATGCTCATCCTTCAATGCTAGACAATCACTTATTTACAAAACACGTATGAGACTAATACGACCTTGTGGAGCGTCTGTCAATTGTTTAATAGACACGAAATTTAACAAGTTTTCATCTTTCATATAGACAGAACTAACTCCAGAGCCGATGTTGAAACTCACGCAGAACCCCGACTTTTGAAGTTATGGTCGGGGGCTCTACCCTATCCTTTTCAAGTGTCTCTGACACTCATAACAACCTATTGACCCAATCTTTCTTATGTCTCAACTTGACTTGAATGCATACTTCTTGATGTGTTGGTTGATGTATCGTCCTTCTCGATTACATTACGACACTTATTTGTAACTGCCCTCATTTGGCTAGATAGGCGCAACTTGCATATTGGTGCTTTGTCTGTCTACAGTGTAAGTCACAAACTAGTCTCTTAGTACGGTTGTGACACTCTCCCCTCTCATCATCTTCAATAGCTTTCTCAAAGACACAAACACATCGTAAATTGTGACATGTCAATAATAAAGCATACTCCATTGTGTTTTGTAAAAAAGATTTATTAGATTTAAAGAGTCCACATTAGTTTGAAGAGATTTATGGATGAGTATCTAATATTTACTTACCAATATAGATCACGAGAATATGTTTGTGTACCAAATGAAATTATTGGATAATAATAATAATAATAATTTTAATTTTAATTTATGAAAAAATAGTTGAGACCATTCTTCTAAAAATAGATGAAGTAAATTTATAAATTAGAAGGCAAAAGAACTAAAAAAAAAGTATTTTATTATCCCAATAAAATAAATAAATAAATAAATATCAATACAATCATAAACTCTGAACATATAAAGAGCTTACTACCTTTCCTAAAACGGCCAATCTTTCGGTCTTCCCCTTTTCCCCACTTTCTTGAATTCATGTCGGTACGATCATTCCTCTTTCCCTTCTCCATTGATCACGATTCCATTTTATTCCATCCGATTTACTTCCCCTTCATGGATTTACTTATCTAACTTGGATTTTTCTTTTAATGCCTTCTTGATTTTTCCCATTTTTGATTCTTGGAGATTTGGCGATGCTTCTCATGCCTACCTTTTCTTCCCCATTATGTTTTTTCTTTGAATTGAATTTGTTTCTCTTGTCTGATCTTATCATCTGGTGGACTCTATATTATCATGTTCATCGGGTTTTTTCTTACCAATTGATTGATGGAACTTGATCGACTATGTATATTACTCGACTCTGTTCTGATTGATAAACAATGTTTTGAACCCTAACTTCTGATTGTTGCTATTAATGATGGGTTATAGACACATGTATGCTTATTTTAACAGGAGAAGGGTCAGCCACTACCTAAGTTTGGTGAATGGGATGTTAATAATCCTGCTTCAGCAGAGGGCTTCACTGTGATCTTTAATAAGGCAAGAGATGAGAAGAAATCCGGTGGCCAACCTGAATCACCTGGAAACGCGCCGAAGGCAAAACCTGCAGTAGATCCTGGCAAACCTCAAGCTGTAAGATGTTTTGAACGCAATCCCCCCCCCCCCCCCCCCCCCCC